AGTAGGAAATCTGTACTGAAGTGAAGATAGTCTTCTCTGGCCTGCTACACGAATCTTTAACGAAATTTTTGTGATTAACTCCTCAATTGTGATGTTTCTCTTCAAGGTTAAGGGGATATAATGATTTGACTCAAAAACAACACCCTCTTCAGCTTCCTTAATTTCTCCATCATACAAAACAACAGCAGAAAGACGACTCATTTTCAGAGAATTTGAGAATTTAGAGTTCGGGAATTTGAGAATTTGAAAGATTGTGAACTGAAGTTTGTTTTGAAAGTTTATAATACGTTGCATATAATAGTGTCTATAATCGGAGTACTATTCACATGAAGGCGCGTTCCCGGGGGCGCGCCTTCCATTATTTCGTCAGAGAATATGTTATCATTGCCCTATTATGTCACTCATGTCCCTCGGGGACACTAGATATATCAGTACCTATTATTTCACTATTCACATGAAGGCGCGTTCCCGGGGGCGCACCTTCCATTATTTCGTCAGAGAATATGTTATCATTGCCCTATTATGTCACTCATGTCCCTCGGGGACACTAGATATATCATTACCTATTATTTCTCAGGGGACATGAAGGCGCGTTCCCGGGGGCGCGCCTTCCATTATTTTGTCAGAGAATATGTTATCATTGCCCTATTATGTCACTCATGTCCCTCGGGAACACTAGATATATCAGTACCTATTATTTCACTATTCACATGAAGGCGCGTTCCTGGGGGCGCACATTCCATTATTTCGTCAGAGAATATGTTATCATTGCCCTATTATGTCACTCATGTCCCTCGGGGACACTAGATATATCAGTACCTATTATTTCACTATTCACATGAAGGCGCGTTCCCGGGGGCGCGCCTTCCATTATTTTGTCAGAGAATATGTTATCATTGCCCTATTATGTCACTCATGTCCCTCGGGGACACTAGATATATCAGTAAATCAGGTAAATTATAACCAAAATTTAACTTCTTTTGAAAGTTCAGCAAGTTAAGAATAACTTAAATTAAAACGTTATGTGAAGTTTGAATAAATTAGATAAAATGTTATGGATAAATTGAATAAATGTGAAGTGATAAGTTGATTGTGACATTGAAATTGTATGGAATGAGCATTGAAATGTGACATTGAATAAATTGCCAATTCACCCCCCTCTTGGCTGATTCCGTCGATCGATGAACTCAACATAAGTTGATTTTAATGTATACGTTTTAATATATATGTTAATGATAAAATCATATGTATGGATAAATTTAATTTCAATTTAAGTATTGTGAACTATAATTGGAATATAACTTTTAATTTCGAATACAATTGGAATATTAAGTTGAAATTTAATGTTAAATTTCGAATACTATAATTTATATTTTAAATATAAATTTGAATAATATTATTTTTATTTTTATTTTAAATTTCGAATAATATAATTTGTATTTTAAAAACATTTATCAAACATTTAATGTTAAATGTGAATAAAAAATAACATTAAAAAATATGTATGTAACAACCATGAAACATTTAAATAACATAACCAAATTACATAAAATTATGAAATATAATTATTTAAATAACATTAAATATAACTGGATCACCGATGTCGTCTTCTCGAATGAGTTCCACATGGCGGTGGTTGCCTATTTCGTGGAGGATTTCTTCGTGGAACTTGTTCTTCAGTCTCCTCATATTCACTAACATCATCAGCAGCATTTTCTTCATTTGGTGTAGATGACGTTGAAGGGGCTGAAGGGCCTGTATAAAATAACGACCCTGGAGGAGTGCTAGTAACAATCCCACCGCTCCCCGGGAACTGTGGAAATTGTGGAAACATTGGCATCGATATATGTGATCCAGATGAAGATTGAGGTGTATGCGGAGAAGCACCACCAGCCAAATAAGATGCATATGAACCATATGCTGGATCATTAAACATAGTCGTATATGCACCTCCATATGGTATAAAACCCTGCGGGCTAGGCATGTAACCTGGCGGGCTAGGCATGTAACCTGGCGGGCTAGGAATGTAACCCTGCGGGCTCGGAATGTAACCCTGCGGAGATGGCATATAAACTGGTGGGCTTGGCATATGAAGTGAAGGGCTGGGCATGTACCCTTGCGGCATCGACGAATAAGGATGTTGTGGTGGGACTGATGCAGAACCGGTAGCGCCTTCTCTCCGTCCACGCGTCGGGGGACGATGATATTGAGACGGTTGACGTCTTTCTCGGCGCCTAGGAATGTTAACCCCTCGTGCTTCCGCCGAAAGTAGAAACGGCTTCCCATTTTCATTAAACCAGTCCATATAGTTATCCGTAACCATATGACTAGTTTCAGCGTAATATTGTCGAGGGGCCAACAATGTATATCGGTTCTCCCAAAGCGCAATCCAATCTCTGTGTCTCACCACCCAGTTAACATCTTTCTTTCCCCGTCTATCTATGTTATGCACGTCGTCTAAATTCCTAGGAGCTCCAGGAATATATTGCGTACAACCATACTGACGGAGCACGCGATCAACTGGATGCCACTCAATAATAGCATAACATATAAGAGGTATAACCGATATCCATACCTCTAATGACCCACTAAGGTGGGGTGGGATGCAAGCTTTCACTTCATCGCTCGCATAAGGTATCCACTGAAACTGAAATATAAATATACAATTCAAATAAATAAAATATTCTAATTATATCTAACATTTTAAATTAAAATATTAATAATTAAACAAATTTAAAAACATACCTCAGACCCAACTTTCGTATCAATAAGTAAACAAATTTCTTCTAACCCAGTAGGTATACTTTTATGGTCCTTTCTTTTCATCGACCACCTATGAAATATAATATAAACTAAATATCACCCTATTTAATTGAAAATATTTAAATCAAAATTTAGTTCGAAAATTACCTCAACAATAAGGGGAATACGTATGGTTCATTCACGATCGGGCATAAGAAAGGCATGCGGAACCACGCCCATGATTGTAGAAGCAGAAGACATCCACCGATAGCAGTTTTCTTATAATTCGTCGCCCGACACATTTCTCTAAAGAGAAATGCCAAAACTGCAGCACCCCAACTATATCTTCCAGCTTCATCAAAATCGATCAGATGCCGCAACCACATACAATGCACCTGGTTGCGAGATTTGTCGGGCATCAATATTCCTCCAATTATTCGTAGAATATATGCCCGATCACATGCCTTTGCTTGATCCTCTGAAGCATTTTCATTTAAAACCTCAAAATTAGCTTTCAACCAAGATAAAACTATTCTACCTCCATTAAACTCTGGCGGAGCAGCTCCAAGATAATCAATGCACATTGATTGCCAATCACCATCCTCCATACCACACATCATATTTCCGTCGACGGGAAGCCCCATATGCATAGAAACATCCTCCAATGTAATTGTTGCCTCTCCACATGGAAGGTGAAAAGTGTGTGTCTCGGGCCTCCACCTCTCAATCAGTGCAGAAATTAGGACAGGTTCGAGTTTGCAACCGCCTATAATTGTTGCAATATACCCGAACCCAGCAGAAGCCAAATATGGCAAAATACGTTCCGGTGTCGGTATACGTGGATTTTTAATAAAAGTTTCTAAAATACGATCAGCATCCTAAATAATATATATTATAAAAAATAAAAATTAATATAAATTCATAATAACTTTAAAATAAAAATAAATTTAAATATTAACATTAATTATAAAAAATATTACCATATCGCTAAAATGTCTGGAGATATGATCAATATCCAATCGCAACAGCATTTCGTTTTCCATTATAACTGTAGACAAAACAATATAATTAGCAAAAAAAATTTAATAATTCTCAATAAATAATAATTATATAAATGTTATTTTAATAAAAAAATAATATTTACATAAATATATTAATATAAAAAATAATAACTATTTAAAAAAAATACTAACATAAAAATAAATTTCTTACCACTAATAACAAATTTAAAACTCAAATAGATGGAGAATTTGAGTTATATAAGAGAGGAGAAGATGATTTTGGTGTGAAGAATGATGGAGGGTTGAGGGGGTTTATATAGGGGAGGAGGAGGGGTAGTTAGGAAAAACGGATGGGGGCATTTATGACATTTAATGGAAGGCGCGTCCCCGGGGATGCGCTTTCCACACGTGTCTGCTGAGTTGGCAAAGGCGTGTCCCCGGGGACGCGCCTTTCACACGTGGCTTCCAACTCAGCGAAAACACGGGTAAAGCACGTCCCCGGGGACACGCCTTTGCCAACTCAACAGAAAGGGTGCTACTTCTGGAAATATTGGTCAAACGGTGTCAGAAAGGTAAAATTAAAAGTAAACGGTGTCAGTTATGTAATTTAGCCGTATAACGTTGAGTGTACGGTATAAAGTTTAGAGTTTTAGTATTTTTTTCATGATTAGGGTTTAAATTTTAAAACCTATGGTGTAAAATTTTAGATTTTAAAAATTAAGGTATAGGGCGTCTAAAGAAAATAAAGGAGCGTAATTTGAATGAAAGACACATACTTACAGAGTATAAATTAGATAGTGGTTGTGTGCATGTATAGACCTTGTATTCCTTCACTAAATTAGTGCATGTTTAAAAGATTTTATTTAAATATTTGAAAATCATGTCATCTAAAAAACGTGAAATGTGAGGAGTTCTTAGTCAAAAATGTTAATTTTGAATCACTTAGACATGAAAAAAAAGTAAATATGAAATTAATCCTTTAAATTAATTAAATGAATAATTTATAGAATTGATTAATATTAATTCAGTTGATATTATTAATATTATAATATTTAAATAAAATAATCTAGAAAAAGATTGATTAATTAATCGTAAATCAATTTTGTACAAAACAGATATAAAGATAATGTAAACATAGTGAAGCTATTTAGTAAACAAACAAAAAATAGAGATTCATTCACTTATCTGATCTTCCATTACAGCCAAGTCCATCCACGTTTCCAACTCTTCAATAAATAAACAAATAAATCCCACACAATAATAATCTCTCTAAATAAAAATCTGTCGATGTCTCTCTCTTCAATGGCTCTCTCTGCTTCACTTTTTAGCCATACACTCGCCATCTCCACCCTCACGCGCCGCCCATTACCGACAGCTTTCCACCACCACCACCGTCGTCATCAACGATTCTCCCCTACTTTTGCTACTTTAAGCCCCTCTTCCCCTCAACCCGCAACTCCTCCGACGACCGGTGAAAGTGTTTTGTCATGTAAAACTCATCAGCCCCCAAATCACTTAGTCGAATCGTCTAGACCCCATGATCCAGGCAGCTTAAACTATGCTCTAGCCAATCCTAACAGTAACTCCTTCCTCGGTCTTGCTCGGTCCACTGAATCCAACATTGAAAAGGTATTCTTTGAATTTCGGTGTTTGCCCTTTTGCCGTCAACCCACGTCCTCAATTTTTGTCTCTTAAGCTTTATGCTAATTCATGTTTGTGCAGACAATATTTGACTTCCGTTTCTTGGCACTTTTCGCCATTGGAGGTTCGTTGGCCGGTTCATTGTTATGCTTTCTAAATGTACTTTCCAATTCCCATCTTTCTTTTTAAAGCTAAAACATGTTTGGCTTGATGAATGTTATATATTATATACAAACTTTATGATCGAGAGTTTTCAGGGTTGTGTATTCATTGCTGAAGCTTACAAGGTCTATTGGACAAGCTGTGTTAAAGGGATTCACACTGGGAACATGGTCCTTCGATTGGTTGAAGCAATTGGTAATTTCTCCATAACTTAATTGAAACCAAGAAAATAAAGTTTTTATTTTATTGGATTTCTTTGTATTTTCGAGACATTGAAGCTCACAATTCCTGTTATTCTATGGCATGAATCATTTGCCTTGAGTGACTTCCCTTATGGTTTTCTCATGTGGAAAATGGGAATAACTGCAAATGAAGTGATATTTGAATCAATATGTATAATGTTGCAGATGTTTACCTTGCCGGTACAGTGATGTTAATATTTGGCATGGGGTTGTATGGATTATTCATCAGTAACTTGAACCCGGAATTGCCTACCGATGTCGATCGTGCCCTTAAAGGCTCATCCTTGTTCGGAATGTTTGCTATGAAGGTAACAGCCTTCCCTTACGAACACTGCGTCTTCAACACAATTAGATTTGTCCATGAGTAGGGTTGAACCGCAGCTTGATCTTTTACATCCTCTTATTTAGATAGGCCTACTCGAAATAATATCGCTAATTAGTATGGACAGGGGATTCAAACCCTCCATAAGCCCTCTAGATACACGAAAATCTGCAAATATATATATCAGTATCCGAACACACATTCAAGTCCGAGTAATGTAGATACCAAATTCGGAATTCGATTATGTGTTGGTTTCTAACCGATGAAATGATTGTGATTTGTGCAATGCAGGAGAGGCCAAAATGGATGAAAATAAGTTCCCTGGATGAACTGAAGACAAAAGTGGGGCATGTAATAGTGATGATTCTTTTAGTGAAGATGTTTGAAAGGAGCAAGATGGTGGCAATAAACACAGGCACGGATCTGCTTAGTTATTCTATCTGTATCTTCCTCTCTTCTGCTTCTCTGTACATCCTTCATCATCTTCACAAACCTGAATAGTTTTTCTTCGAAAAGTAGTAGATTGTTGATGTTATATTTCAAACACATGATTAACTCTTCTATTCGTGTTTTATATAATGATATTATGCATTATATATTTTTTGATGTTGTAAAATAATTAGATGTTCCTTTTCCAAACGGTCATACTGTTAAGGGACAAACTCAATAAATTCATAAAATCTTGGAGATAAAAATAGATAATTAACAACAAAAAAATATTTAAATTATATAAGAAATGAGTCTCCGGACATCTCTTTGTTCAACTTTTTCTTTATAGAAGTCGGAGGTCTCATTAAAAACTCCCTTCGTATTCGTTCACATACTAAGAAGTATGTTAACGAACATTGCAAGGAAGAAAAAAATACCTCAAAGTTTATTAATAATAATACCCAATACAAAAGATAACATCGGAATATCCTCCTATGGTGATATACACCATTACAACAAACACCTTAATCTCATATAACCTCATCCAAAGTCATAGTCGAATCACCTTATTTCTAATTACACCTCCATCAATAGGATTAAAACAACGCAACATAACATAATACAAAAGAGAAGCAACACCTACAACCATATAAACTAAATCAAACTGCAATTGGAGAGACGAGATCTAATGAGATTCGTCTTCTTCAAGAGCCCAAGAGTTTGGCTTGAATGAAGGCTCTATCTCATGCACCATGATCTTGAAGGAGTTGTCACCAACCTTTAATTCCAACGTCGCATCAATTATCGCACCGACCTTTGCGAGGACTTAAATTTTTGCTTGATCAAAGAATGATGGTGACTGACAGCTTTATTCGATTGCTAGCAACTGACCCCAACTATCAGCAATGTTCTTGAAAGTATCTCAATTCCATGCGTGAAACGGAACACCCTCACAAACTAACCATACTCGGCGACACTCCATTACCAAATTTTCTGACCAAGCTTCGACTATAGAGAACCACTCTGCGAGAGTCTTTAATTTATCGTTCTTCACACTTCTCAATGAAGCAGAGTATTCGAAAATCATTAATACCGCATTTCCAGCAGCTCTCATTAAGGAGAAGCCAGTGAGGCCCTTCGTATGCATTTGTCTAGCGAGATGACCGATTTTGATAGTCTTTGCACCACCCTACTAGACAATTGCTCAACACCTTAAGTTTTTCTTCATCTATAACGCCTTCAACTTTATAATGATTCTTGCTCGAATCATCTTCCATCCCGGACTTGCGGAGAACACCTGTCGAAGACTTTCTCTAATAGGAATGACGAGGTTTGAATTTAGCGAAAAAAACACCAATTTTGCTGTCGTCGATATAAGAGCCATTCATTTTTTAGGTCGCTCTCATTGTTTCTTTGATTGAAGCGAAGCGAATGAAACCAAAGCGAACTCCTTTTGAATTTCTTTTATTTGAAATAAAAGCATCAAGTACCCGATCGTGAGAGCAAAATAAAGATCCAAACCTCTTTCAATAGATCTTTTATGGTAAATTTTCAACAAATAACGTGTAGCATCCATTCTTGTCATTACTGCACCCCTTTGTGATGGACTCCTTGGTTCCCTCGAGGACACCATCTACTGCAGATTTTCCATCGCAACACCCAGTTTTACCAGACACATGAATACTAGGAGATGCTACAGAAGCTGAATTTGGCATTGGCAGTACTGGAGGAACAGGATCACATCCATACTTGTCTAAACCATCAGAAGTTGTAACTATTCCTCTTTTAACAACAAGATTCTTCCTTGCCATTTGAATGTGCAGAAGAGACTTCAACTTAGCATCAAAAATCATTTTCTGAAGGGCGTCCTTGGCAGCAACTGCAAATTATGCAATTGAGAATAGAGCGAAATCCTTAAGCTTTTCTCCCTTGTAGCTCACTTGCGAAGCTTCAAAACCTGGAAGCCATCTCAGTAGATTCTGCAGCTCTCTCTCTTTGACATCTTCAGGCAGACTCATAATGAAGATCGTACGAACCTCGTCATGATGAGAAGGGTGAGATGACGAAGAAGGCGCAGCTGCAAAGGGCAGAGGAGCTTGGACCGGAGGTCTCTATTGGAGAAAAATTCCAGCACCCGGCATGATATTATAAACTGATTTTTCTGCACCTTCTGGAGAATCTCTCAGGCAACTGGAATTTCGAATGGTTCAATTCTTGAATGGGACGGTCCTTGAACTTCCGAAAAAACTTAGGTCTAAATTTTCCTTAAACCAAAATGAGAGTCAAGGTTTAACACATCAAAACAACCATGCTTTAACCAACTCGGTACATGACAGAGTCCATGACGCGCGCCCGGCAGTGGTGAATGTTGTGACTGTCGACGAAGAAGAGAATGGTGGAGGTGAGAGTCCAACAGGTAGAAACTTGAACCTGAGGAAAGATGAAACTATGTAGTTGTCTTTCAACCAAACCCTCAGAAATGGATTAGATCGAGAGAACAACTTGACAGACCCATGGCTTGTTCTGATTTTTGACAAACCGATCGAAGAGTGATTCACAGAGATTGGCAACAAGTCTGGACGCTCGTATAGAAGGGATTTATTCACGAGTGTATGGCGAGCCCAGTGGTCAACCGAAGAACTGGCGACAGACGGCGACGAAAATCGACGTTTAGATCTACGCCGATATACTGACTTTCTCAAAAATTAAACCTAAAAAATAGAATCAGAATGAGGAGACGAATATCTTGAGGAAAACCGACGGCGAACGGATGACGGAATGTGGCAGCGGACGACGGTCGATGGACGACGATGGTAAAAATGAAATGATGGATGAAAATAAAATCACCTTGAACCAAGAGAGAAGCGCGCTTCTCTCACTAGGTTCGAAATTCGAAAATGAGTCGTAAATATGAAAATGGTATTTATTAATATATATATTGTATATTATGCATTAATATCAAATCTACTCCAACTTCTGATATAAATATAATAATACTATCATTTTATATATATGTACATTTTGAACCAACAATATACACAATAAAAAGTTCAGAAAGAAACATTACTATAAAAAAAACCTACACATCTACCCATCACCTATCTTAAACTTTTATGTTACCTTTTTTTTTTCATACATAATTGTTTTCTCGATTTAACCCATTTCTATGTACAACAATAACATTCCTACATGCTGTAATTTAGTTTCCTACAAAGTATCAAATACGGAGATTGTTTCCTATATCAGTAGATTAAAATTTAAAAGAAAAACAAAAAAAGAAATAGTATAATAACTTTTGTTATAATATATTAGTATCCAATAATTATATCTCCCATTGGAGCTCGATGAGGTACCCCCTTCCTCCTCATGGCAGGCCTGGCCTTCGGATGAGTTGTTGACGGAGTAAAGCTGATTTGTTGTTGTTCGTTGCAATTTGAACTCCCACTGCTAACACTTGTTATATTCACCGACTCCCCCTCCGACTCGTCTGCTGCTTTGTACATTTTCTTCCTCTTCCTGGATGTTCCAAATACCTGAAACCAACAATATCTTAATTCATAAAGAATTAAAACAAAATGTAATAATTGATTAGAATTAAAACAAAATGTAATAATTGATTATGTATGTATGTATGTAACCTTGCAACCGAGAGAACAGAAGGTGAAGGAATCAAGGAGGCTGCGGTGGCAGACTTGGCAGGTATTGGTGACGCCTTTGCCAAGCCTAGGCTGTGGTCTTTCGTTCAAGAACACTATCCGAGCACTGTTTATTATGTATGTCTGAATCCCTGAAATATCTATCAGTTTCTGAATCTCCGACACTCTTATCACATCATGGTAAGATGATCTCCTTATCTGCCAACAGAAAGCAAAATTTTGTCAAATGCAAGCATCGAAGGCATTGCTGAAACCAATGCAAAATTCATACAAATTCCAAGCACAGAAACAAAAAGAAATATACCTGAATAACTGCATGGTCTTTGTGATAAGCAAGGCAAAGGGAACAAAGAGCACCGTTCATGCAATCCAAGCAATACATATTGCATTCACTCTTGTGAGCATCTGCGTGGAGCTTGCACTGACCAAAAAATCTTGTTCGAAGCAGTGGAATCAGCCATGGCGGCCACTTCATATCTTCATCGTAATCATCTTCTGGTCCTCCTCCTCCCTATATAATTATAACACAAATTTATTTAGTCATCAAAGCATTCATTTCAAGAAAGATAAATACCAATAATATCCGACAAGAACCGCGAGGCCTAACCATGATTCGTCTGCTTTTTGGTTTGATTTCTCTAACGATACTACCTGCTTCTTGATCAATATTCATCATCTATCAGCTTGTTTAAAGATAAAATTCTCTAGGAAAATCGTTTTTTTTTTTCAAGGAAAAAAAATGAGGTTACTTTGGAGAGTGGACAGTGTTGTATGAGAAGGTGCTTATCCTTAGCTTCAAAGTACTTGAATCGAATCTCTATCCTAACTTAAACCAATAAACCATAAAAAATAAAACAAATTTAAATGCGTTTACTTGAAGGAACTTCACCAGATTCTTCTATTTTGTTTATTTATTTATATTTTATTGATTTTTTTTCATTATTTTCGGGTTTGATGAAAGTTGGTGCATATTTCTATGGACAGAATGGATAGTGGCTGGCACCTTGGAAGATTAGACGTGTGGTTCTTTCTATCATTTGGCATTTTGGAAGTGACTGATTCAGACATGTACGTAGGTGTAATGATTCAGCCAAAATATAGGGAGATTTAACGGCTATTTGACCTAACAGATATTGTTTAATCGAATATCTTTTTTTCTGACATCGTTTGACCTATATTTCTCGAAGTGGTACCTTTTCGGTTGAAGTGATGAAAGGCGCATCCCCGGGGACGCGCTTTATCCGGGTTAATGCTGAGTTGGCCGCCACGTGTGGAATGCGCATCCCCGGGGACGCTCCTTCACGGGATATTGCTGATTAGGTTGTCACTTGTGAAAGGTGCATCCCCGAGAACGCGCCTTTCATTAAATGTCTTAAATGCCCATCCAATTTTTTCAGAATTACCCCTCATCCTCCCCTATATAAAACCCCTCAACCCCTCATTCTTCACATCAAAATCATCTTCTCCTCTTTTATATAACTCAAATTCTCTAAATCTTTTAATTTTAAATTTCTTATCAGTAGTAATAAATTTATTTTTAAGTTAGTACATTTTTAAAATAGTTATTATATTTTATATTAATATAATTATATAAATATTATTTTTTATTAAAATAATATTTATTAAATTTATTAATTAATTATTTTTTGTACTAATTATTTTTTTGTCTACAGTTATAATGAAAATTTAAATGCTGCTGCGATTGGATGCTGACCATATCTACAGTATAATTAAATGTGTAATTATACTGATTTTATTAAATTATGCATCAATATTTTCGTTAAATATTGATAAGAGGTGACTAGATTGATAACATTTAAATAATTAACTAATAAAATTAATAGATCGATAGTCACAATAAAAAATAATAATATAACCATATGTGTAATATTATAATTTCATACATTTTTCCTATAACTACAATAAAATCAAAATTGGTTTTCATCTATTGTTCTATCAGATTAATGTGGATAATTCACTTCACTTTTAACACACATTAAAAAAATACATTTGATAATTCTTACATTATAATCGAAACACTTTACATAATATATTACTAATTTATAATAATAATAAAAATAAAATATTTATTATTAAAAAAAATACCAGCGAAGTATCTGAATTAGCAATACCCAGTGAAGGCGCGTCCATGGGGATGCGCCTTCCACACGTGGCAGCCAACTCAGCCTTAACTCGGGTAAAGCGCGTCCCCGGGGATGCGCCTTTCGCCACCTCAGCCGAAAGGGTGTCACTTCGAAAAATATAGATCAAACGATGTTAGAAAGGGAGATATTCGATTAAACGGTGTCAGTTAGGTCAATTCACCAGATTTAACATGCCACGTGTTATTGGCTGTATATTTTTATATAAAGAATATAAATAATGATTTTGCATGATGATACGGAGGAGTTTCACGTTAATAAAATAGTTAAGATTATGTAAGTAAGATATTTTTTTAATATAATTTAATTTACAGATTATTTTTTATATAAGGTGAATTGAACATTATTAACTTAAAGATGTCGGGTGTTTTATATTTCTTCAAATTAAATATAAAGATTCTATTATTGCATGTTGTCTCCATGTAAATGAAAAATATTCAATAATATTTTCCACTACCCTATATGGCAAGAAAGTTCAATGTTAGGGATTTTGACATTTATTTATATAATTGGATGAATATGTATACAGACAAATATTTCAATTTAGAATAATCTTGTAAATTTGGAAAATGATCACATGTGACAGTTTTAATATACGGTTAAAAAAATGTGTTATTGATTTTGTTATTATTTAAATAACAAAATCGGTAAAAAAGTATCATAAATATTATTATTTTTATCGATTTTATTATTATTAGGTGCTTTACCGAAAATGTTAAAAAATATTAATGTTTTAAATAAAAATAATAATATTTTAGGTAAATTTTTACCGATTTTATTATTTAAATAATAACAAAATCGATAACATATTTTTTTAATTATATATTAAAGATGTCGTACTTTAGAATCTCCCTGTGAATTATTAGTCCAACGTAGATGATAATGAATTCATGCTTATCTATTTATTTTTCCTTGTTATTTTGTAAATTTTTATTTGAAGTATATTCAAGCAGCTCTACTGCTCTAGACTAATTTCAATAACTGATTCTATTATTAAAAGTTATTATTAATGTTCTATTAAAGTTACTTTTTAATTCTTTTGATAATTAAAATTTTGAAACTTCAATTATTTTAAATATTTAAATAATTACATTTTAATAAATATATTAAAAAATTAATTAAATAAAAGTTTTTAGAATATTTTATATATTTTTATTAACAATATAGTTTAAATAATAAAAATAAAGAAATTCTTTTAACAAACACTTTGGACGAAAGAAATATTATATCAGCTACAATATTAGTATTAGGGATGGCAAACGGGTACAGTTTCATGGATTTCGCACCGCATCCGCTCCAATTGGAGCAGGGATGGGTATAATTTTAGCGGGTAGTGGGCGGGTGTGGATTTAGAAAGTGGTATCCGTCGCGGGTGGTGGGCGGGTAATGGGTTTGAGATATTACCCGCCCCGCATCCGCCCTACATCCGCCCGCCCAGCTAAATATCCATTAAATTTTCGACCATTATGAATTTAGGTGTAATTTTAGAGACTAATTTATAAAATCTAATATTGTATAATATATAACATGTAATTTATCCAACTCTCCAATAAATAGCAAAGGATATTTTGGGCATTCATGTCTCTATTGTCCCATCAAAATCTGCATTCAGTATAGGTGGAAGAGTAATTGGTCCTTATCGTAGTCGACTACTTCCGGAGACGATTGAAGCATTAATGTATGCTCAAAATTGGCTTTGGGTCGATATTAAAGGTAATATTATTATTTAGTTTATATTAGTTGTCAAATTGTGTTTAATTATCTTATTAAAGTTTAGTTACTAACTTATATTAGTTTTACTTTCTATTATATATGTAGGTAGTAGTGAATTTAAATTGGAGCGCTCTCAGTTAGATGAAATAGAGAATGATGATTGTAATACTGGAGTATTATATGTCACAAATATTGCCTGAAATTTTTTAATGTTGTGCCAAAGAACAAAAACATATGTGTTTGTCATTTATGTTTCTAGACTTTAATTATGTCATTTATTATGGTGTTTTATGTATTTTAAGATCTATATTAACACTTAACTTAGATAATCCTTAGATTATTTTATTATGTTTCTTAATGGACATGTTTTTTTATGTTTGTTGTTTATGTATAACTTAAGTTTGTTGTCAGGCGGGTCTAGACGGGTACGTCGCTAGTGGGTAGTGGGTGTGGGGATGGATTTGAGAATGCACCCGCGTGGGCGGGAGTGGATTTGAAAATTTGTACCCATCATGGGTGGTGGGCGGGTGGTGGATTGAAAAATATTAGATAGGTATGGGGATGAGGGTATCCGCACCTGACCCGCCCGTTTGCCATCCCTAATTAATATGTGTACTACTTAATAATAATAATAATTTAATTGAACAAATAAATTATAACTATTAAAAAATAATTCATCTATAATTAATTTAATAATTGAATAACATTAAATGTATTTTTACACTAATATCTATTATTTCTTAAACAACATAGTTAACCAAATGTAATTTCATTTTCTAAAATATAACCACAGTCAATGTCATTAGATATTTATATTTACTTTTAAGGAAAATAAAAGAAAAAGTATATATAGGTAGAGGAAACAATTGAACATGGACATTTAAAAGAAAAACGAACCTTGTCTAATTTTTTAAAGTGTGATCCTGTCTGATAGGGAAATTTGCTTTGTATTCATTGGATTTGAAGCCTAGGTGGATCCAATATAGAATGAGATAGTTATGATTAGGGGTGTAAACGAGTCGAGTCGAGCTCGAGTATTACCGAGCTCGACTCGAACTCGAAAACTTTAAATGTAGGCTCGACTCGACTCGAAAACTCGCGAGCCTAAAATTTTCAAGCTCAACTCAAACTCGAAAGATAATATTGAAACTCGACTCGAACTCGAAAAGGCTCGAACTAAAAAAAATTCAAGAGCTCGATTGAAACTCGAGACTCTAGCTCGATTTTGAGTTCGATTCAAGCTCGAACTCAAACTCGAATTTGAGCTCGATTCAAGCTCGAACTCGATTCAAGCTCGAACTCGAACCTACAAAAATCTTATATTACATTTAAAATATATAAATAATTTTCCCTTTAATCAACCATCACAATACATTATAATATGAATGTATGAAATATAAAAAATCTAAAAAATAAAAATACAATTACAAGAAATTTAGGATAATTAATATAAGCTTTGAAGTTTTTTTATAATAATTATTACTATTATTATTACTCATGTTTATTATATTAACATATGGTGCAAATCCACCAGGAGGAAGCCCGAGATAGTGCGCCACCCACGTGAACCCACCGAGGAAGACCCATGCTGGTCGGCCATCCACCGAAACCAATGCATCCACCAGGAGCAAACAACTGTGCCAACTGGCCATTACAGGATGATAGAAGTTGGACTACCTCAGGGTTCAATGCATCTTGGTTCTTATCCAAAAAGCAATTAGTATCATACAGCACCTGGGAGAACTCGTAAAACCAATAATCATATAAGCATTGTGCATTGCCATTTTATTAGTTTGCAATACCATTTGAATCAACTTGCAAAAATTTCTTGAATATTACTCACTTTCTTGATTATTTTCCTTTGAAATTGAAGGAAAGGAAAATTCTTAAAATGAATTTCTTACTGTCCTCAAAATACAAATAACTGACCTCTCCTGCAAAATGTCGAACACCAAAGGCCCTGCCTCTATCTCCTCTGAAATAAGAATTAGAATTCAGGTGCAGCCTCAACTTATTAGCAAGGGTAAAATCAGTTGAATTGGGTAAATTTGATTCCTCATCCAGCAAGGAAAGTAGCCCTAAGGGCTTCTGCAAAATAAATACCAGAAAGGAAGAATGACAGATTGCCAAGGAACATTTTGGTTTCAAATGAAACGAGATATTAAAAGAAAATAAAAATTTCAGCCAAAATTAGCACCAAATCTAGGCCAACATACTTAATAACAAGCTCAATTTATAGCTACCATCTTAGAAGTAACTATGGAATACACAAGATCCACATGTTACACAATATACAGAACAGAACCCAGAAATCCTTAAAACAATCCAAGGAATTCCAAATTAACCTTGAAGACAAAGAAACCATTGAACCATCAAATTACCTTCTCAAATAGGTCCAAGCACTCTTGGTTGTCTTCAAAATCAACTTTGGTCCAATCAATCCCATCCAAGTCATACTCCTGAAATAAGAAAAAGAAACTCTTAACAATGGGAAGTTGGTCAAAATTGTAATTTCTGATAATGGAAACCAAATCCAGAATAAGAATAGACAACTCAACCAGATTATATAGAACTTTTGGTTTGAAATTATACAGAGTACTAGAGTCCCAGCTCAATTATACAGAAACTGTACATAAGTCAAAAACTCTTGAAATTAAAAGTTTTGAGTTGCTTACCTCTTGCTCAAGCTTCAATAGGTGCCGGATGAAGTGTTGTTGCAACCTCTCCTTTGCATAATTTACACAAAGCTGCTCAAGGCTATTCTTCTGAAAATCAGATGAGAAAGTTATCAGTTGGACAAACTGAAAATTCACAGTGATAAACTCTAAACACCAAACCCAAAACTACTTAAATGACTCAAACCCATAAATATCAAGGATGCTTATGGACCTGCCAATGTGTTTTTTACCCCCTTCAAGTGACTTGTTGATTTGTTCCACAAGCCAGTCAAATAAGCTTGCATAGATGAATTTTGCCAATGCGTTTCTTGCATCAATAGCCTATATTACAAATTAACTAATGATTATCATGCTGTCAATGCACGCATAACAGGCTACAGCAAATATAGAAAGTGACTTTTGAGAGGATTGAGAAAGAATAGTTGCGTTAACAAAAACTGCACAAACCTGTTGCAATGTCAATTTTTTACAAATACTATCCCTGCCAACTCGGATTCTATGCGTAGATACAGCTTGCATTAGTTCATCTGGAGCAAAACCCATCAGCCTGGCAGAACTGGTTAAAGCTGCAACAAGGAATAAGATCTCACATAAATAAGCATATTATAAAGATAACATAATAACACAAACTTACATGAAAAACAAAATGCTAACTAAGATTAACTTAAAACAGATTCAACAAAACAAGTTTATTAGCAGGCATAAGACAAATGATGATGAAAATCATGGATTATGAGGTCTTCAGAGCACACATACCTTCATCGGCAGATGCTCCACATGATTTTCTTGTCAATTACTTGAAATGATATATTTCCCAACCATAAACTGCAGCAAGCATTGCAAATGCTTGCTCTTGCTCTTCTTTTGCAAAATTTGAACATGTCCATGGCTTCCTGCAGAAAATATTGCTTAAAGGCCAATGAGACAAATTAAGCGGTTAAAAATTGCTACACTATGATGGTACTATATCTCTTGAATTTACCGTAAGCTTTGGAATTTGAGCATCATAACACCATACACCAAGCACTCACTCTGGCCTAGATAGTTGTACTCATTAGCTGTTTTAAGATTCAATCTCTCTGCAAAGACACGATTCCAAGGATCATAAAAATGTTTCACAAATTCAATCCAGTTAATAAAAGACCTGTGGCAGAAATAACTTTAGCAACCCAGAGCTTTAAATGATATGATACAATATAATAACCCAAGAGGCATTTGAATAAGGGTTTACAATCACACCATGAGGTGTTGGTTAAGCCACAGAGGACCCTTCGCTTATCACACCACTTACCCCGGAGCTTGAAGCCTGGTTTCTGGAGCCCCATGTTCGATTTGACAGAAGAGAGTAAGCCTTAGCATCGCTTAGATCCACTTTACACCCTTCTACTTGACACCTTGGAGGCTGAGCCCCTTGCACCATTCCACTAGCCCTGCCCTTCCTACCCGACCCGGATGAGCTTGAAGACCTTCACCGGACTTGGATGAGAGTGGCGCCGTGTGTGCGTGAGAGGAAGAGATGAGATTTAGAGAGCTGTCGAGAGAGGCTGTTGGAGAATAAAGGGGATGTACGGCTGTGTTTGGTATTTTGTGTGCGTGAGTTTAGTTTAGGTTTAGTTAAATTTAGGTTTCATATTAATTGTTTTGGTAAATTAAGTTATAATCCCTCAAACTTGAACACCCTTTTGTAAATTCCTAATTTAATTTTTGATTTGTATGTTAAATTTTACGTTTATTTAAATTTAGTCATTAGTTTAATATGTATATGCATGTTTAATAAATTTATAGTTTGGTATGTTATATTTTAATTTTTGTATTTCAATCACATTTGTATAAATTTTCTTATTTGTTTTAAATGTTCAGGTGTCATTTATGTTATTTTTCATATTATTTTAGCTTAAACCGAATAGGATCAACTGCACATAAGACCCTATAGTTTATGCGCATTTTGTATTTAAGTCATTGGTTTAATTCCAATTTTGTATATTTATTTTAGTCCATGTTTAGGATTGTTTTCTTTAATTAGTTGTGTATATTTATTTTTCATGTTGATATGTTTATGTATAAGTATGCGAATGATTTATTTAGGAGTCGCATAACATCTTTTTTCATAATTTGTATATTACCTTCATGCGCATAATTTAAACCTAAACCCTAAACCCTAACACATAAACCCTAAACCCTAAACTCTAAACCTTAAATCATATCACATAAAATCTAAACTCTAACACATAAACCCTAAACCCTAAACTATAAACCTTAAATCATATCACATAAACTACAAACCATAAACCCTAAACTCTAAATCTTAAATCATATCACATAAACTCTAAATCCTAAACCTTATAACATAATTAGACGGAATGAGATGACTTAGTGAAAGGAGAGAGAGTATACTTGTTTTGATATTTTTTAAATTATTAATATTTAAATTGAATCATATTTTTTTATTATATTATATTTATTATCAAATAAAAAATTAGTTATGAGGTAAGTACAATATAATATATTGATATTAAATGCTCAAACTCTTGATATTTATGATATTTGAACTCGAAACCTCAAAATATAACAACAATTTAAAAAATTAGTTATTACAAATATTATCATTAGAAATATATTAAATATTTGTCATTAGATAAATAATTTTTTTATTAATTTAAAATAAATATAAGAAAATTTATTCAAAAATAATTTTTAACCATTTTCATTCAAGAATATTTATTAATCAATAATGTATTTTTAATATGTTTTTAATAATGTAATTTTAAAAAATCTAAAATTATAATATAACATTTTTTCGAGCTGCTCACGAGCTTTTCGAGTCGAGTATCGAGTAACTCGTTTCGGCTCGTTAAGAACTCGAGTCGAGTTCGAGTTCGAGCTCGAGTCGAGTCCATTCGATCCAAATATTTATCGAGCCAAGATCGAGTCAATCTCGAGTAACTCACGATCTGTCTCGTCTCATTTACGGCCCTAGTTATGATCCCTACTGCTACCGTGTGTCAATTTGATCTTCCTACTACTGCTGCTACCTAGTATGAGGTCCAATTAAACCTATCCAAGGGCTGACTTCAGTTCGTCCAAATTTTAATTCCGTTTGATATTTGAAACATTTTTAACAAAAATATTAAATTAAAAAAATTGCACAAAATTAATTTTGGTTAAAATATAAGCGGAGCTTGGGTAAACGTGTTTTGCATTCATACATCAATGCAAACCCAATTCTACCAGCATGGGCACCTTTAGGTCAAAACTGTTTGATTGTCTTCTTCAAACCTCATGAAAAGAAAGCACCGGCTTGTAATTTTTACCACATTTTCTCGCCTTGTCTAATTAAACGACTTAGGCCCACCCTCCATACATCAGCAGTGGTAGTATTCCCAGCATGCCTTCCGGACATGAGCTGATCGGTCTGGAATCCGACTGGGCAATTCTATTCCTTTTCTGGACATGGAAATGGAAATGGAAATGAGAGGGAAAGGGAAAGTGAGGCAGATACATCATCATCCTTTTCTTTTCCGGTTATCTTGTCGTCTACTGTTCCAACAACGAAAGGCAAGATCCCTCTGTTTTGTGGTATAGTCTCAGCCCCTAAAGCCAGCTTCAGATTAGGAGATGTGTCGTGAACTCGGTCCTTGTCTTTTATGGAGAGCTCCTTCCACGGTTTAGAGTTGTCCCCCAACTGAAGTTCCCTTGCATGATGTGAAACCACGGGATAGAAACACCCTTCGCTACTTCCAATGTCATTGGGGATAACTTTGTTTTCACAAACAATGTCTCATTTCTTCTCTTCGACAGAAGAGGCGGAACACAGAGATCTTGTCTATCTGACGCTAAACTATAACCGGAAGGACCTTGATCTCTAATACTGTTAAATTGATTTATCCCACTGAAACCTGTCTTCAGCATTCTATTATCGCTTCCTTCACCTATAGAAGCTCTCTTCACCTCACTCCATGACAATTTTTTACTTGTATCGGTACAAATTTCTGGAACCGTTTCTGTAAGATCCAAGTACGTGCGTTTCCTATTATTCGGTTGCAAACAATCAAGATATCTCTTTGCAGAAGTTTTTCCATTGGCACCCACATTATCTATCGGATCCCTAATTCTAACAGAATCACCATCAATTTCCCCTACCACAACTGCAATTTGCTTTTCAGTCGGGCAATTTTTTGAAAATGGATAATCTTCTTGGACATGCATTTCCTCTTTCTCAACTCTGACAGAACCACTATTGGTTTCAGTAGCCCGAAGGCTAGGTTTGAGATCTGTGTCGGATCTACAATCTGGAACTTTGCTCTCTACCTGCAAAACAAAGATGAAGGTCAACATTAGTAGGAAGGAGGTTTTGTTTCTATTTTTCCTGTTTTCCAAAACCGTACTTACAAACACTATTGCTGCCGCTGATGGCCAGGATCAGAATTATCTGCGAGCTAGGCATAGTTCAATAGAACTATGATTGGAAACATTTTCCCCATATTTATGACTGAAACTCTTTACACTTAAACGCTCCTATCTAGTTGAATTGGTTTAATGCAACAGTCTCAAACTAAAAGAAAATATATGTGAGATTAAGAATTTGAAAATATTAAAAACTAGTCTTAAAATACATAGCAAGAACGTTCAATTGAAGGATATAAGCATAGGAAACAAAGATGGAATTTGGCTTATGTTGACTTCTCTAAGGAATGCAGAGCTACCAGTGAGGCCTTTGAAATATTTAAAAGGTTGAGAATTTACATAAATTAACCTTTAAATTTTAACAGCAGTGCAGCAACATTAGAAGAAAAAAAATCATATTCTAATTTTCTTCGCTTCAAATGTATTATTAATTTGTTGTTGGTTCGATAATGTCACTGAATAAAGAACATTCTGTAGCTAATTGTAGGGTGTAAGAATGGTAAATAACAGGAAGAGCAAATATACGGAAACAACTATGAAACAATAAGAACTTGACAGTCTCTTTTAAGTAATATACATCGACAGAAGAGCATATTACCTGAGGAGGACTATTGCATTTTGTTTCTGGAAGCACCTGTGTGCTGCTTGTTGCAATTCTTGGCAAGATTTTGGTGTCAACTTTACTATCTTGCTCCTCCAATTTAGCTTTTATTCCTGCATATCCCTGATTATCACCAACTCTAGCTGTTGAGATACATGCTTTTTCAACAGCACTGGTTACTGGGACTACATTGCATGTACCATCACATGCAGCTGATTTATTATCTGCCAGCTGAGAGATATCAACTATCTCCCTCCCCAAATATATCATACTTGCTTCAGGATTGCTTACACTCTTTATGGAACTAGAAGAGTTTGCTCTTCTTCCCTTGAAAACGCCCCAAAGGAATAATAATGCATTCCACCCTGCAAATAGTAAATCATAAATTTTAGCAATCTTTTAAAGAAGAATCAAAATATGAAAAATATCAAACATAAAAACACAAAGTCCAACAGAGGCAAAGACTAATCTAAGAACAAAGAGAAACAAATAAGTACAGATCTGAAAAATCAGCACATCATGTCTGAGTAAAACTTAAAAGAATGAGAACATAATGTTCTGTCCATATGCTAAATTATGAGTTAATATATTAAAACCATTTGATATCTAGAAATTTCCCATATAATGTCACATCAAATCAATGGAATGAAAGAAAAAGATTCATATAGCCTGTCCCCACTAATTAGGGAATAAGCAGCATTAGTTTTTGAGCTGTGCTAGAGCAGAAACAGGAAGACATGCAATGAACAGCGTTTGACAGAATTAAATAACTCAAAGCTAATGATCTACATAAAACAAACTGAAAGTCATTCTCCAATCCTTGCTTTAAATATGTTCTCTAGACACCACTATTCTGGTCCAAGTTACCAAAGCAAAACCAAATAGACGATGAAAAAATTCACAAAAAAGCTATGGAAAATGTGCTTAAAGAAACAGTAAACATTTTTAATGCATCGCATGCATACAGTCTACAGTAATGTAAACATGTTCTAATGCAGGATACAGCACTGAAATTGGCAAGAGACACGGAAAACACTTGGTAGCAAGAGATGACTTCCATGTTGCCTAAGCAAAGTTTATAAACAAACGGGCATTTCTTTTCTTTCTTTCCTTTTCTTTACTTGCCACCATAAGGCTCCTTTCTTTGAAACACTAAGAGGTGACATAACTCAAAACTCTGCCTACAATTTGGTGTTTAATGCATCATAACATCTAGTAGCCCTAGCATGCACAAAAGCACACCAAAAAGGACTACCAGATCAATTTCCTTTATCTAAAATGCCCCACAACTTGAGTATTTCAGTGGATGCCCATGTTAGATCCAGATAGCAGGCAAATTTATCCATCAATCCACAGATCTAGAGCATTGACGTAGAAAATGAAGTCTAGGCACATTATCACCTAGTTGCACATCTCGCTTAAACACAATTCATCTAATTGAAATACTTTGGAATAAAGAGATGCTATTTTCTACATACAATGTTTTTTTCCAGCTATTGCGGGTGGAAACCCAAATCTGAGGCTCACCCAAATGATTTAAATCTTTAAATTTAACAGGGGAAGCATGAAGATTGTTCATCTCACTTTAAAAACTCCGTATAAAGTCTACAACCATTTCCTCAATTCTTGATCCATAACCGAATAATGAACTAAGAATGCAAGTTTCGATAGATGAAATAGAGGGATAAAGAACCAAAATAAAAGAATGCATCAGTAAAAAAATGTTTTGTAGTTTGAGAGCACACTAAGAGGTCGTGGATATCAAATGCAATAAGTTTGAGAGAACAGTATGAGATTGTGATTATCAAATGCAATAAGTTTTGATAGCACACTAAGTGGTTGTGAATATCATGGAATTTCCATATCCAAGTAATATTACCAGAACCTACTAGGCCACGTGCTGTGGTATAGCAGACATAACCCTTTATCCTAGCCTTCCCATGACTCTTAGATCAAAGCATATTAGTCCAACCAAGCAAAATTACAGGTTTCTACACTGTATTTTAATATCTCTATTTTGCAGCAAATCTTACGCTGGCAATTTTCAGGAAGTTGGTTGGATGGGATTATCAAAAGTTCAACACCTTCAAAAGCTCCCTTGAGAGCGAAGTCATTCTTGACCATGGTATCCAAAAGGACCTTGTAGTTCTCATAACTGAAACAAAAACCACAGAACTAAGTTTTAAGCGAGAATTGAGAAAAATCTTGTCAATGATCTATCCAAATGGAAAAAAGGGAAGAAGGAGAAGAAGAAGTGGAAGTCCGAACAAGGAGAACAATCCAAGTATGTTCAAATATACCTTTCACGGTCCTTGGCAAAGAAATATAGAGCTATATTATTTTCTTTAGGACCACTGTCATGAAAGTGTGTCGGCCAAGTGCTCAAGCGAGGTACTTCATCCAAGGAAACTTTGTGAGGAAAAGAGTTGACAACTTCAAGCACTTTAGGTGATGCAATTGTTGAGAGATGGGCTTGAATTTCAGCAGAAAACCCTGGAAGTTTTCCACTTTTATGCACCTCAAAAGCCCCCCTGCATAAGAGTAACAGGATTTATCTCATATGAGAAACAGCTAAGGCATAGAATGCAGAAGCAATAAATGAAAATGGCACCAAAGGGGAAAAATAGTTCAATAGAAGGGCAAGAATCCTACTGCCAGATGTATTCATGTTCCGGGATGGCAGAACTCTTTGAGACAGCAGACCCCAGGGCTAAAGGAGGGATGAATATCTCTGTCATTGAAAGATTGACAACAGACGAAACCGCAGAGACAGCATCAGTGGAATGTGAATTAAGCTGCTTGATATTACCAATGGAAGCCTGATTACGAAGACTTTTTTGCCTTTCATGTATACCTTCAACAGGAATCGTATTCTTTGTCTTACTAGAAATTGATGATGGAACATGAGATGCTCTGTCACGTATTCCAGGCCTCAAACGGATAGCTGCTTCAATAGCAGCTTTCAACTTATTGCCTTTATATATGTCCTCCCTAGATGTCCTTGGATCAGACTGATCAGCACCAGAGGCCTTAGAAACTGGACAATAGTCAACTGTATGACTCATTTCTTTGCATTTTAGACATGAAACAATTTTTGAGGAGCGACTAACAGAGCTCTCCCTAGATTTCTCACTCTGGTTTGTTGAATCTAACGACAGAGATGGCTCATCTGACATAACTCCATTAAAATTATTATGTTGCTTCTCAGCTGTCCATGAAGAACTTGATGTCGGTTTCTCCATCCGGTTTAGTTGGTTTAATTTCTGTTCAAAAGAAATACATCCATCGGTTGATGGAACAACAACATCTGCAAAATAAAAAGAATGATCTTAACTTGTCAGGGTGAACCAAAGGAAAACAGAAACAAAGACGAGGTAACATAGAGAATATAGAAAAACATTTAAGTCAACACTAAAATGAAAAAGAAAAGTAGTCTCTCCATAAGAATGTGACAACGTACCAGAAGTAACTGCACTTTCTACACCTTCGCGATCTAGATTGCTGGTAGATTTCGATAAAGTACTTTGTTTTCCATCAGACTGAGCAGCCTTAGTTTCTTTGTAGTTGCTTGCAGATGAATGGAAAATTAAGTCAGCACGAGGTGTCAGTTTCTTATCAACCTTGGGTATGGAGACAGTAGAACCAGAGTGATCCAACTTTGAGGAACTTTTCCTCTCTAATGATATCTGCTCACTATCTATCTTTGATCCTTTCTGATCTTGAACATGTAGATGTTTAGATGATAGCCTTTTAAACTTTGATTCCTCGGTATTCAACTTTCCTGAGTTAGTGGATTTAAATGACAAGGATTTGTCCATCATTCTACCAAATTCCTCCCTGCTATCAAGGGATTCATATTCTCTATAACTTTTCTGTTTCTGAAGTATAACTTCATCTACAAGCTTCACTTTGTGTTTGGAGTTTAAACTATTGAATGAATTGGATTTAAATGAGGCACCTGTATTAAGAAGAATGGTATGCCAATGTGTAAAAACAAAAAATATAGGAAAAAAATTAGCCAACGATATCAGTTCACTTACCCTTTGGTGCTTGTAGTTGTGTACCAGAAGGAGAACGTACAGTTTCTGGCATATCATTACCAGAATGGTTTCCAAAAGAATTTTGCAGATATGGCTTCACTTTCCCCTTGTCTAAGTCCTTCGATGAATCCTCTCGGGACAATGCAGATACTCTATTAGGGCTCAATGGTTCTGGTGATCCCATACTTGTTTCAACAGCCTTCTGTTTCAGAGCTAAAGCACTCTCTAGATTTTCAACATGCCTCTTAGCTAAGCTTTGCATAGTTGAGCCACCTTTGTTTGCTTTTTCTCCTTCAACATTCAAACCTTGAAAATTCAATTGCAAAAGGAGTTCAGTACAGGACCTGTCAGAGTGCCATTTTCTGTTCCATCTGTTTGATAACTAACCTTGCTTTTGGTTTTCAGTCTCCTCAACAAGCTTGCATTCTTCACAAAGCCAATAACCTTTGGGAACTTTCTGAAGCATTTCTCGCATACAATAACTGTTAAAAACAAAATATCAATAAAACCTACTGAAGAAACATATCAATTGAGGGATCAGTGCACTTACGTGTGCTCTGCCCCATCAGAGCACTTGCTACATATAGCAAGCAAATCTTCTTGTCCAGCATCCCCACAAATATCACATACTTTAACCTATTGCAAACAATTGGGCAAACAAAGAACAGATAAATCAGCAAAATTTATTGATATGAAAGTGTATTGATCAATCTTTTTAAAGAGTTAAATAAACAACAAATCTAGCAGTCCTGCAAGGGTAAAGAAAGAAAGAAATAATTCTCTTTAAGTAATATAAAGTAGATGTAATCCGGTTTAATATTCTAGTACAATCAGTCCCAAATAACCCAGTTATATCAGTCAATGCATTAAAACTTCCTTCAAACAAAGAATAAAACATAATTACTGACATCTTCTGAAGCATCTGATTCATAACCCACATCTAAAGAAAGTGCTTGCAAAGGAAACTCCTCCTTGTCAGGTAGTTCAACAAACCCAGTCGACTCATCTTGCCCATCTTCATTCAAACTTTTACCACCATTACCTAGTGGGACACCACTATTTTTGTCGATATCTGCTTCGCACTTATGAATTTTGGCAGATATCTCAGAACTGCCTCCAATAGAGACTTTGCCACTTTGAGAGTGAGAATATGGACTTTGTATCCTCGGTGAACTACTACTAGCATCTTCCTCCTTTATGGAAAGAAGTTCGGACAAGTCTAGCTTCTGGGAAGAGAGCACCTTTTCGGATCCTAAACTACAAACCGACAATGAACTATGAGATGAATCCTTAATATCTAAATCCTTGTTATTTGCATCACTGGCTCTACTAGCACACGAAATATTATCATCATGGACTTCAACACTCTTGAAACCATCATATTTATTTGAGAAGGTCCTTTGAATCCCAACATCTTCTAGTTCATCAAATACACCAGATGGCCTTATAGTTGCTTTAGTTTCTATATGTTCCGAGTAAGAATCATGATTTGAATTGACACAGAGTAAATTGCTTGCTTCACGCTGGGTATGTTGTAAGCTATCACCTGTTTTATCCTTGTTGATAGAGTGCAGACTTGCCACAGCAACAGGATCAGTTTCATTGGAAAAGTCGTCCCTTTTTAATCCCATTTGAGCTATACTAAGGTGCATACAAGATGAACAAGGAGCAGAGCAAACGTTGCAGGTTATAGATTCTGCTTTTGCATGAACTTTTTGACTCGTGTTACACCAAATAAACCTTTCTACACTTTTTCATGCTACCTAAGAATAAAAAAAAACACAAATAAGAAAATAATAAATGGAAAGAAAAAGATACATGCCTTTTAACAAACATGTACTTTATTCCCTTTACTAAAAGAAAAAAAATAATTGATCCTATGGAACAAAAATACTAATAGCAAGTGCGAATAATTTTTAGTTCGACCTTCATAAAAGAAAAGATTAACTGGTTTCTACTTTGGCAGATATATTAACAGGAAAAATAATGAGCTTCGCATCAGAGAAATTATCTAGAAAGGTGAAAAAACGAATCAACAAACCACCAATCTAATATTTTATTGAATCTAAAATCTTCTGACTAGGAAGAACTTTTTATACAAAATGATCAATCGTAAACTAAAACTATTCCAAAGATTGTTATTTAGAAGCAAACCAAAAACATTTCTAATAGAGCGCACTTTTCATCATTGAAACTGAACAGTGCAGAAAATTAGCACCACCTAACTGCAATAAAAAATTATATAGCAATGCAGTGCTTTAAATTCCAAGAACTAGAATCTTTAGAAAAATCATTCCAACCCCTCAACAGGATCCATATATGCTGAGTATATGTTATCCAATTTTAAGTCAGGAAATGGATGCATGCATGACAATAACTTTTTTACTTGGTACTGAGAGAACATAGAAAATGGAAAAGATGAAGGGACTCAAGGGAGACCATTTGCTAAGCCAAAATACGAATCCAGAGAAACAAATGAGATTGGGAGACAGCATACAAAAACTAAGAAATAAGTACATAATTTTCTTGCACTCCACTTCTAAATCATTCCCAGAAAGCATAAGGGGAAAGTAAAGTAATTTTCTATTCTACCATTCTTCATCCCCTACCTATCTTTTCATCTGGTTTTCAACCCTCTTCACCAGGAAAATGCTAAAGTTAACCATAACTAAATACTGTGTATTATAGTCTTATGAGGAGAGCAACTGCAAAGAACCAGGCACTTCTTTTTTCAGTACCAATAAATAGATGTCTATCCTTCTTTCAATCAAAAACATTATTGTACGAACATGGTTGATAAAGAAGAGCATAGATTGCAGATTACCTTTTCTCACCAATTCTTCTTAATACCATCTCATGCACTAGCCCTTGGACGCAATATTTATAAAAGACAATCAAACTGTACCAAAAAAGCAGCATTAAAAAATGTTTTCCAAGTAAACCCATAGCAAAAAACTTCACTATTTAATAACATCCAAAACCACGAAATGGCAAACCCTTGCATCCAAACTCCTCACATATGCCTAACCCAGTGTCCTACCACGTCACACAACTGAACACAAAAAGCAAGGGAAGAAGTATATCCAATTTCCAAAGAAGACCTAGAACCCTAGTTCCTAACATAGGCCACAAAACAACAGAACAGTGATACAGCAATTTTAATGATAAAATATTACTAGCATTTCCACATATTCCATGGCATTTAAATGAATAGAAAAGTTCAACTCGAAAACACTATCAATTAAATTCTGAAATGTTTATAATCGATAAAATTAAACAAAACACTATTAAAGAGAAAATTTGATATTGCATGCCTCTGGCTCGTAGAGTATCTTATTCGCATTGTAAAGCTCCACACTACGCCGCTCCTCCTGCCTCACCACAATAGATGATGTTTTCGCCGCGGCCATCGCGGACGCAAACGATCGCGCAAATTTAACATTAAACTAACCCATCTCTTCCTCTCACTTGGATCCACCTCCCTAACTCACTCGTTATCCCCTGGAGAAGTTTTCCGTTCAAATTTCAATCTCAATCCCCCAATTTATACTTCAAAATGTCCTCTCCGTTATTATACAGGAAAAAATGATATTGAAAATGCAGAATAAACTAAAGCAATACATATAATGATAAACTAAATCATTTCAAATTTTGCTCTTCGTGAATTTAATATATATCTCTTTCTCTCATATGATGATCTGAGAAAAGAAAACATATCTTGAAGTGGCAATATTTATAACAGAATTGAATTTACTCTCTCACTCATAAACAAAAATCAATAATTAAAAAATCTTTAAAATTAAATAAATAAATTTACCTGAATTTTTCAGTATTTCGTCTTTTTTCCTCTCTCTTTTCTTCTCCTTTTCCTCGGAGTCTCTCGCACTCCAATGCCTTTTTAAATATTTATTTTTCCTCGTGTGCCGCGTATTTTATCTCGATTAATTTGAGTTACTCTAGAATTTTGTTTTTGTAGATTTCGTAATAAAGAAATTGGATATTCTCTTTCGGTTTAATCTAAATTAACAAGCAATGTAATTTAGTCTCTTCTATTAAAAAAACAATCAATGTAATTGAGCGCAAGGTTTATTATTTTCATGGATGGATAGCGGGAATACGGTCACACTCTTTAAAAGATTTTATTATTATTTTTAATTGGTTATTTAATTTTGTATGTTCTAAAATTTTATAATTTCGTATCTTTTAAAATTTTAAAATATTTTTTAAATTGATACTTCTAACATAAATTCTTACATTTATTTCCGATTATTTTAGTATACAATTTATTTATTTTAATTTTAAAATTTAAAATAATTGATGAAAACAAATAAATTATGTTGTATATTAATTGTACATCCCTTCTAATTTAGGTTGAGAATTGAAGTTTGAAATTATATTATAACCGCTAGTCAATGATTTTGATTTTAAAAAATATAAAAATGAAGACTCAAGACGATAATAGTCAAAGAAAAATCATCATTCTTTCCTCCATCACATGAGTTTATATATTAACCCTTTGTGTATGTTTGTATTAAACCTAACATCATGATTGTTATATATAGACCGACAAAGCATATAAATACAACTGTTAGTCCATAGATTTGTTTTTGATAAATATCTTGAGTCTATCAAAAGTATCGTCAGGAATTTATGATCGGTCGAAGAAATTTTTTTATGGGAGATTCCCTTAGGAGTTATCCTCAATAAGCAAATGAAGAGTATTTTTGGAGTTGGTATTTCAAAAAAGATATGAAGATGGTACAACACTAATCTCTCTCCAATATGAGGAATGTCATAAAAAATTTATTAACATATTCCCGATCGAACTAATTCGATAACCGACTGAATTAATCGAACTAATTCGATTTGATCGATTATTTCGATTAAAACCGAAAAATAAAAACCCCTACATATCTTTGTTGTAAGATAACTCAATCTACAACGACACAATGTGAGTATTACGAAAAAAATAATAAATTATTTTACAGTTTGACGATAGCAACATAATTTTACTATCAATTTAGTTAATTAATTTCGTTCAATAAGTAATCAGATTTATTTATTAATAATATGAGTTTCAATAAATTTTTAGATAGATAAAGTATATTTTTATTCTTTATTATATTAATAAATTGGTATTAGAAAAATAATAATATGATATAATATTAGCTTTTATTATAATAACAAAAGTATTTAATACTCGAATTTTCTGATATTTATTTTTAATTTATAGTAATAAACTGAAATATATTTTATTATTTATTATATTAATAACTTGGTATTGTAAAAATAATACTCTTTAATACCGTAAAAATATATTAGAAAAAATTATATCATTACGCGAAAGATAAATTAAAATCTAGTGTAAAAATTGAAATGTTTTAAAGTCTATACAAAAACTAATATAAAATTTAAAATTTAGTGACTAATAGTAAAATTTTAAAACTAATTTTTAAGCCTATATGTTTAGGGTAAATTCTATTTTTAGTATTTAAACCATTACTTTTGTTTTGTTTTCATATCTTTTATTTTTTTTAAATTATACTTAACGTTTAATTATGCTTCAATTTAATATCAGACCGTTAAAAAATTAACAAAACTACTAACATGACATTTTTTTATTTTTATCAATGATGATGTGACATTATCTTATGGTAACACATAACATCACTATTATTCTATTAAGTTTTTAACGGTGGTGTATAAAAATGAGATCTAAACTAAACGTTAGGTATGATTTAAAAAAATAAAGTTTAAGTATCAAAACAAGAATAAAAGTAATAGTTTAAGTACTAAATATGTAGTTTACCTAATTTTTTGACGAAGAGAATGAGATTTCTAAGCTTGAGAAAAGGTAGGGATGGCAACTCAACCCGAATCCGACGGATTCCGACCCGACCCGACCCGATCGGGTCGGATTTTTTTAAAAAAAAATCGGGTTCTGGTCGGGTCGGGTTTTTTTAAATGCACTGTTCGGGTCGGGTCGGGTTTAGGGTAAAAAAAAACCCGACCCGACCCGAAAATATATATATAATTTTATCTTATATATTTAGGGATAATTACAATAATATCCCTCTATATATATTTTTTTTCAATTAAGCCATTGTTTTCATTGAATTAAATTTTTTTTTTAATTTCGGGTCGGATCGGGTTTCTAAGTTATATATTCGGGTCGGGTCGGGTCGGTGAAACATTAATTTTGTCGGATCGGGTCGGGTCACGGGTGGAGAACCCTTTCTTCTCGGGTCGAGTCGGATGGCCCAAAAACCCGACCCGACCCGACCCATTGCCATCCCTAAGAAAAGGAGATATAAAAAAATGTGGTAATTAGGGATAATCGAAGCTTCAGAGTAATGTGAATTAGGATCCCCCCCTCTCTTTTGGTTGTTTTGAAGTTTTCGTCAGAGATCGGGTTTTGTCGAAATTACCGGGAGCGAAATAATCGGGTCGGATTTTAGATTCACTCGAGGTGAGTGCTGATTTCTTCTTCTTCTACTTAAAATCTTTATTTGTTGCATGTTAAGATTTGCTAAGATTTTGGCTTCAATTGTTGACTTAATTTAATTTTCTTTTCAAATTTTATTGAGAATGTTTATTGCAATTAAGATTGCATGTTGTATTATTCTATAAACTAAGTTTGGAAAACCAGGATAAATGAAAAACTAAACAACTTTGTTTCTTATATGATTTTGTTGCTTCTTATGTGTTTTATTTTTCATGATATTTCAGAATTTTAGCTGGTAATCATCACAATTAAATCATGTACCTATCATTTGACAGTGATATCCCATTGTTTAGAAATTAAGACTCTGTAAATAGAAGATCGAGTTTTGAGATGGTATGAGAGAAGGCTCGCCCGATTGTGTGTTCAGAAGGGAGAAAAGGTTTAAGTTAAAAAGTCCGCCATTTTTCATTTTGATTCTTAATAAAGGAATATTTTTTGAATTACTAAGTTAACATATTTGATTATGTCTGTTTAGAATCGTTTTGAAATATGCTTAAGCTTCTCCAACCTATTTCTATATCCAAATCATCCAAACTGTTGCTTTGAAATGTGCCAGAGATGTAATCAAACCTGTTAGCTATATGATTTTCCCCTTCACGATTTGCAGTGCATGGTTATATTTCCGTAAATCATAGGAAGTTGTATTGATGATTAATTTCTATTTGGATGCTTTTAAATCGGTTCTAGTTATAAGATCTTAGGGTAATTTTGTCTGAGAGGCAGTGCATGTAAGTTTTTCTAGAATGCTGTCGATCATTGTTCTGTGATTCAACTTATCTTTAACATTAAAGTAACTAATAAATCTTAAAGATACTGTATTATTAGTATGAGTTTTGCACAAAACTTAGCTCATGGAATTACTTCATTCTGGGAGTGAAGCAGTGACTGGAAGCGGGGAATGATTGATAACCAGTATCTTTAGATGGAAAGATGATATTTGTTTCAGGTTACGGAGCAGTTATTTTTGAAGTTGTTATTCATACGTTTTTCCTACTCCTGAGTAAAAGTGGGGCTTTACCGATGAACAAAGGCCCAAGTTTTTATTTGAGTGTATCATGTGATATAAAACGTATTGAGTATCACTTTCATGCAGAATTTATTGTATATATTTACTTTTTCCCCCTGGATAACACTCTTATCAATGAGAGCCAAGCTTAGGCTTGATCCTTGTATGAGTTCAGTTTTGTTATTTGGACCATACGAAGATTATACATGAAGTGATACATTGTTAATTTATTGAACCATTATCTGCTTTTGGGAATATAATCTTGTTTTCATTGAGTTGGCTAGTGACAAACAGAAATTAGAATTAGAAGCATATTAGCTGTATTATGGCTGTTCGCGTTTTGCTGCCAGTGCTTTTCCCTTGGTTTTGAAGTCAATCATGGATAGGATTCTTATGCATTTACTTTTCAGTATTCACTTTTTTATTGAATCCTTTTCCCCCTTTCTCAGAGAATAGTTTTTTGTACGGCACAATCTCTAAAATGGTGTTCAGGGATTCACTTAAGAAGCCCAATATGGAAGTAGAAGGGGCAGAAAATGAATCACCAGTAATGGCTGGTTTGCAAGGTCATGTCTCATTGCCGCCTCCAGTATCTCTCAACCACACTTCAAGAATTTCGCAAGATGATTGGCATCTGCTGGCATATATTCTCTCGGCTAATAAGACTAATCGGAAAGGTATTGGGCAAGTTTTACTAGACAAGGAAGTGCATGCTCTAACTTCCAGCTATATAGGATCAAATGGAAAAAAGCCTAAAATTATGGCAGGATCCCAAGAAAATCATGGTGGACAAGGGTCAGATAATAGTTTCATTCCAGGTCTTAATGATGACATGGCACTGGACATTCTGGCCTGGAGCAGCAGATCTGATTACCCAAATATGGCCTGCTTAAACAGAAAATTTAGGTCACTTATTGGGAGTGGATATTTATATAAACTGAGACGTCAGCTTGGCATAATTGAACACTGGGTTTATTTAGCCTGTAACATGATGCCCTGGGAAGCTTTTGATCCTATGAAACAGAAATGGATGAGACTACCTAGGATTCCATGTGATGACTGTTTTACTAGTGCTGATAAGGAGTCTCTGGCAGTGGGGACTGAGTTACTTGTGTTTGGTCGTGAGTTATCTGGATTTGCTATTTGGATGTATAGCTTGGTCACTCATAATTGGTCTAGATGCCCTCTAATGAATTTGCCTCGATGTTTGTTTGGTTCTAGCAGCCTTGGGGAGATTGCCATTGTAGCTGGGGGAAGTGATAAGAACGGAAATGTTCTACAATCTGCTGAGCTCTACAATTCTGAGCTTGGTACTTGGCAAACATTGCCAGATATGAACTTACCTCGGAAGCTGTGTTCGGGTTTTTTTATGGATGGGAAATTTTATGTCATTGGGGGCATGTCCAGTCATACAGATTGTTTGAGTTGTGGTGAAGAGTACAATATCGAGACAAGATCATGGAGGAGGATAGAAAATATGTACCCTGGTTACAATGCGGGTACATTTCATCCTGCTATGCGTTCACCTCCTCTAGTTGCTGTCGTGAATAATCAGCTTTACTCTGCTGATCAAGTGACTAATGAGGTCAAGAAATATAACAAGGTTAATAACTCCTGGAATGTTGTGAAGAGACTACCTGTTAGAGCTGACTCTTCCAATGGTTGGGGACTTGCATTTAAAGCTTGCGGCAAAAATTTACTAGTAATAGGAGCTGGAGGACATGGAGGGCGTGATGATGGAATAATTATTCTACACTCTTGGGATCCAGAGGAGGGAAACAGGGACGGACCAGAGTGGAATGTGCTTGCATTCAAGGAGCGAGCAGGTGCATTTGTATCCAACTGTGCAGTAATGGGTTGTTAATGATTCGCCAACATCTTTATATACTCAGTGTCTTTAACTTGTTATTGTTTTTCATTTTCCCATTTATGGATATTCAGAAGAATAATTGAACACCTCAAATCAATTTCTGAAAGTTGGCAACTGATCTCATAACCAAAAGATTTGACCTCATATCATCAAGCAATTTCTGTTGCCATTTCTCCTGTACTTTGGCATCAAATTCATATCTTGGAATGTTACAGTGAATTCACCGTTCTGGATATGAATAACCTTAAGGCAGGTACTTCTTTAATACAGTGCTTTCATCTTCATCAGTGTATGTTGAGTTGCATTGAAGTACGTGTATTTTACACTTGTTAAATTGTTTAGGATTCGGAACTTTGTCTTAGGCTCTGCTTGATATGAAGGTTGGAAAAGATGGAGAATAGAAAATTTGTTAATCAAATGGTTAACATTCCTAACCAATTTCCTGCTTTGAAGCTTAGCTCATGTATGGAATCTAATGGCTAAACTTCAGAGTTAGAAAGTAGTGGTGAATATTAATCATTCGATTAATAAATTTTCTATCCTTCCATCTTTTTCACCCTTCATACCGAGTGAAGACTTAAAGTTGGAGATATTCGGGAATAAGTTTCAAAGAGAGTAGGGTTAAGTAAACAGGATCGTCATTGAAAGGTAAAACTCTTTTTATCTGTCTTTGATGGTCATTGGAAGGTAGCTCATTCTTCGTTCTAAAAAGATATAGTGCATCTTTGCTACTCGATACTACCCAGGCTTTGTTGAGTGTCGAATATAGACATGTGCCCAAGATGATATATTCAACTTCTTTTTCTACATATTACATCTACTCCCAGGCTATGGATGTTTAGGTAGAGGTAGGGAAAGCAAATTATTTTAATCTAATAGTTGAGATATATAATTACAAGCTATATTTAGTTAAATCTTTGGAAGCGAATTATTGTCCTTGGTTAGCTTGTTTTGTTTATTGCGTATAATATTTGGGTTATGAATTGTGACAGCATTTGATAAACTTTGGTGCTTACTCATTTCATTTTGCCGTGTGAAGGATGCTTGTTGCAATCTTTGCTTATGTGAACCGTTTTTCTTTTCCATTGTCTAAACGAAGGCTTGTACTGCCCTGAAATCGAACCGAGTTTTTAGAAGTTTAAACATTTTTCGATTCAGTTGATAAATACAAATGATAAATTAATCACTATTACCAATTTTAGTTCATATTTTAAAAATCCTAAAAAAACAGTAATTTTTAGAACATGAGGAAAAAATTGTATAGTTTCTTTTTTGTTAATCATGATTTCTTTATCTTTTATGAAAACAATAAATTATAAAAATAAAGCAATGACAAAATGAAAACAAAAACAAAAGAATCTCTTAATTTTTTTTTATGTTTTATAAAAAAAAAATGAGTGCAAATATGAATATCTACTTAGTTGTATTACAAATTATTGAGTGTAACCATACATGAAATATATAGTCAGACGAAAGACAAACGATAAAGTTAATATAAATATAGGATAAATTACACAAATAGTTACTAATGTTTTGTTTTTCTCATTGAAGTTTTAAAAGTAATAAATTAATTACTAGTGTTATCGGTTTATAATAAATCGGTCATGTATTGTTAACCGTCGTTATTGTAGTAATGGAATATTGATGTGATGCATTAAATCCAATGGCGTATGCATGTATACTTCAAGGTGAGCATGTGATCGCCCTGAAATTCAAATTTATTTATGTTTGTTGTTTATTTTTTTGATGTTATCCACCCTCAACAATATTTATGGATTTTTCACTTATTAAAATGATTACTTGAAATTATTCTTTTACATATTTGAGTTTCCAAAAACTTTTGGCTGACTTTTGAGAAAAATATTGAAGAAAAAAGTCTCTTTTTCTATGTTCTTTTTCTTCTCTCATCACATAACTGATGAATTTTTTAGTGGTGCTTCTTGCTTTACAAATTTCTGGAATTTAAATCTTCTTCCTTATACGCTCTTTTCTGGTTCTGAACATCTAGTTCTACGGAAATGGCAATATGGTTACTGTTCCTGCCATTGGAGGGGTTTATTAAGGAAATGGCAAATTTTCCTTCCTTTGTTTTTCAACACTCCATTTGGAATATGAACATAAAATTTATACTGTGAGTCTCAAGACTCAACTCATCGTTTTATTTTACAAGTCTTGTCTGAAATCCTCATTTAAATATATATATATATACACTTATACATAATCCTCATTGTCCTTGTTGTCTTATAGGTTGGAGAAGCGAGTGAAATATGCGTCTCGCAAAGCAAGAGCCGATGTGAGAAAGCGTACGAAGGGACGGTTTGTCAAAACTGGCGATCCCTATGATTATGATCCATTGAGCTCAACTAGAAGCGTTTGAGAGTACAATCTTTTAACCATGCTTACTTAAAAGGAAGGACATGTCGGAAAGAAAGAAGTGGTTATTCTTACCCCAAAATGGTGAAACTGACGCTCGTACTTTCATTTTGAACCATTGACAGCCTGCATGGTTGTATATAAGGCACCAGTTTTTTTTAATCCGAAGTTGGATGCGAAAACGACATGAACAAACTACCAAGGCTTGGTTCCTAGTTACGATAAAAGATTGATGGATCCCGGCATCATTCCGCAAGAATATGCCCGGGGCAAGTTTGATGTGAAGCTGCGTATCGCCTTATATTCGAGCAAGTTCACCTGCTCAAGTTCTTATTATAGTGTACCTTCAGCTGTTTTATGTGCTTCTGTAAACGCTGCTGCAGTCATGACATATACTAAGAAACCACACTTTCGATTTGGAGTCGCAGTCAAAAAGCATGCAGCTGTAATTTTGCTTCTTCTTTTTCATGTATTTCGATGTATGTATACGGAGTTAAGCGAGGTCTAATGGCTGCTAGTGAACAGAAGTAGGTCAAAGAAAGAACATGGAATTGTAATATTCTCCCTTGTGGTGGTCGTGTACAACACATGATTAATCATATATGGACTTATGATGACATTGTGTTTTCCTTAGTACAGGAAATCAAGAGATTAACTGTAAATGACAAATTAATACACCACCAAAAATCCCGTCGTGGATTATTAAATACAAATGATAAATGGATATTGAGCAAGCGGTATTGAATATTAAGTGAATTTTCTTGTGTATAAATGAATTGTCCTCAACAACTTTGCTTGCCATTAATTGTAGAATTAATTCCCCCGGCCACGGGCCCACGGCATACTTAATTAAAGTACAAATGAAACTCAGCATGATTTTGTACCAAGTATTTTGATTACTTAACGCTCATATTTATTTAGATTTAAAGTTCCCATCCTAAATGAAAGTCATGCTGAAGGAAAATCATCAGAGAGTACAACATTAGTCAAGTAGCTACAACTTTTCCGGGCCTTCTCTTCCGGGAAATCTCGAATTTCCGCTCATTCAACTAACTGTGGCATACGAGGGGGAACTATGGAGTTTGAAACTCACCATGCGGAGAATGAGAACTAGTTGTGGAGAAGTCAGACGATACCATCGGAATGGATATAGATAGCTGGGTTGTAGAAAAGGAGGTCTGGTTGGATCTGTCGTCTTCGAGAGCTGACCAGGAGTCCCTGGTTTTAGGCCACTCGTCAAAGAAGGGTCGAAGAGATTGACCCCCGTGCTTCACGGCTTCTCCCGAGTTGAAATCGCTGAAAAACGAATGCTGGGGGTAATCAGTCTGCAAGCTCGGGTTGCTACCAGTTTTTGACTGAGCAAGCAAAGAGTCTCTAGACTGCATTAGAGGCCATGTGTCGCGGTTGCTCCCTGAAGCTTCAAAGGAAATACTATGCCCACCGGCATCGGGTTTAATTCCTTGAAGATACCTACATGTTAGAACGAATCGAGTAAAACACATTAAAATCATGATCAACCACAATCAGATCAAAACATTTGATAATAGTCATAGACGATCACTAAATTCAGTCTTTTGCATCTTTATTTATAATCATGTCACACACGATTGAACTGTCTCTGCACAAATGATATGAACAGAACAGGTCAAAACTCATGCAAGTTGAGCGAGCATGCCAAGGGAAAAAGACCAATATAAATGAATATGACGGTCTAATTGCATATGATCACGAACACGACTTCGACATGGCAAAAATATATAAAACATGAATAATTAACGTGTCAAACTTTATAAAAATATAAAATACCATAAACACACTACGACATGGCAAAATTACACATGCAACATGAACAAACAAATCATCTGATTTACACTAACCTAAGCTACAGATGAATTACCAAGTCTTACTATCATAACATAGAAAGTAAAAACATATATGTTTTCCGTGTTGCGAGGCCTCAGACTTGGAATACACCACCATTTTCCTCGAAAAATTGCAGGTAACACAATAGTTTTAAAACAAGGTCCTGACAACAATGGTAAAAGCAAATTCTACATTTTGTATCTTTTCCGTTTGGCAGAAAATGGAGAGGGTCAACATGCCCACTAATTCAGAATGCTTGTCATATTTTTCCATGAATTAAACAAAGGAAAAAGAGTCGAAAGAAGACGGTAAAAGACACGCTCTGCTATGACATTGGAATTCTACAGTGTACTAATGGGACATAAGGGCTTGGAACACTGAAAATCAAAGCAAATTAAAAAAACAAACAAAGTTTCATGGAAGCAATCCGTTATCTGCATTGTAAGAATATAGGAACAAGAACAAGTTTTTGAAAATCACGACTAATCATGATTACAATGGTAATAAGACTTATATATTACCATGCACCTCGTGACGGGTCTAGGACCAAGTGGCGGACCATAACACACCCGGAAACTAAAAGGCAAAGACAGTTTTTAGCTTTGTACAACTAATAATAGTTTCCATTTTGTTTTTGTTTTTTCTCCTAGATTTTATAACCAATCCATGGATCAAATTCTGCAGAAAAGTACACATCCCATTAGGTAAAAAACAGAAAGAGTGGATAAGCTCGCATGCGGTAGCATGCTATCAACAGTTTCTCATGGTCATCAGACAACAAAAACGAACAAAGCGAGCTACACGGAGAAAACAAAAGCAAAAAATGGACCATAAAATAAAACTGTCAGTGATGAACAAATTCCAGCAGCAACATCAACTGAAATCGTCATCCATCTTTGAGGACATCAGGGCCAGGAACACTGAGTTTAACAGAAACTTCATAAAGTTTCTGCAAGACCTCCATTATAATAATGAGAAGCAATCTGCAATTTT